CCCTGTACAAGCTTTACCCTGCAACTGTAATTCCTTCTGTTTTCACATACCTGGCTAATATGTGCACATTTTCAAGACTTGGTTAAAGCTTCACTTCTTTTATATATTAAAAAGCCATTCTGAGTCATCAGGAATTCATCATTGTCATTCTTTCACTGTACCCAGCTGCTATAGCAACTGTTTCCCACTTGTATTACTTCATGTCTGCTGATCTCCACTAAAACGTAAATTTTTTTAGACAGGGGATCATCTCTATGCTATGCTGCTTTTAAAAGAAGGAAAAATTTACATATGTTAAATCACTCATTTCAATTGTTTTAATGGCAGAAAAACTTGGAAACTCTCTAAATACACATCAAACAATAAAGTCTTAAGTTGTACACATCTACCAAAAGAATATAGCCACTAATACAATGACTCATGAAAACTACTCAACATGAAAAAATATACATAACATCAACTTCGGCATAAAATGGAAGATATAATTCTACCTACATCCTGATTAGCACTATATGGCATTTGTATGAACAAATGTCTGTATGGAAAACACTGAAAAAGTAAAACATCTTCTATAATTGAGTGGTGATTTTTTGAACAAGTTATTTCTTCTTTGGGCTGTTATTTTATGCCATTTGTATAATAAATAAAAGAAAGTTACAAATGTTGAAGAAAGCACCACAAAAACATACTTTGTGAGGATGGAGCAAGGTATGGCAGGATAGTAAAATGTCCTTTTGTCTGTAAAGACACACATTCCTTATGTGGCAGTTCTGAAAACATTTGTCTTATCCCTAAAAGGCAGCCAACCAGGAAAGTTACTTAGTGCTCTCCGAAGCCGCACATGCAATGGTACATTGACATGTCAATATCCAAAAATCTGTAATGTCTTGGAGTTACCTTCCCACAATGTTACAAGGCCAGGGAAAGAAAAAAGATCAGTTTTGAAAGTCTGGTGTGCACAGTGTCCAATCCAGAGCACACTTGGGCATCTATTTCATATTGATAAGCTACTCTTTTAAAATACCCGTCAGTCATTCATTACTGTCAAAAGAGATTAACATAGGAAACATTTCTGAGGTGCTGAGCAGGAAGATACTGACTGAGTCAAGCTGACCCAGGTCCATGTCTCATGTTTCTACTGCCCCTGCCTTCCCAGCTTCTGCCCAGGCTACAAGCACAAATGGAGCTGGGAAAATTGTGCCTTTGGGAGCCACCCCATGAGGTGAAATTCAAAACACTGCATAGAGAGGATAGGAAGCCAAACTTACCTCTGTGCCACTGACTTATCATTGCTTTTCACCAAGTCATTCAGAGAATTAAAGCTCTCTACCGTACCAAAGAATAGCACTTGTTCAACAAATATTTGTCAAGAACCCACTATGTGAAAGACCTTATGTTCAACACTGATTATTCAATTTAGTTGAAATGAGAGGGCATGAGTCAATGCCTGCTGGATATTATGTACATTGCCAAACTACTCCTTAACATGCAGACAGCTCTTGTGGGAATGTCAGAGCTGAAGCACTCTCACAAAGCTACTCTCTGCCCTAAGGTAAATCCACTCTAGGCAAACGTGGTCTGGCTCAGTGCTTTTCATTCAGACTGTGCTGTGAGGAACTCAGGGATCCCTTGAGTAGGTGGGATTCTGTCTCAGCCCAGCTCCACTCTCACTTGATTTACATAACAAGTTTCCTTCAAACAGGATGTCTGCAACTAAACACAAACACACGCACACTCACACAAAGGCAAAGGCACACACAGACAGCTGATCCACATTGTTTCCTAGAAATATCTCTCAAAACTACAGGTCCGTCTTTATTTTTTTCCAGAAATATCTTCTACATTTAACATCAGGGAATTTTTCATACCTCACCCAAACCTTCACAGTACAATTTAACTCTATTCTTTTTATGCTTTCAGTTAACAATACTCAGACTTCGGATTACCTATGCATACAAGAGAGGCAGAACAATAATTTAGCCATCTCTTAATTAATATCAAATTACCTTGGTAATATCTAGTATCTCTGTGCTTCAAAGTAATTACCCCTGGAAGAGAAAGAGGTAATGTTGGTTTCAATTCATATTTTGGGACCTACGATTATTGTACTTCCTTCTCTAATAACAGTTTGAGAAAGCTCAAAGACCACTGGAGAACGGGGATAGTACTTGGTACATCATAGATACTCAAATAAATATTGAGTGTTGAAGCCAAAAGAGGAACAGAAACAAGGGAGTAATGGCAAAAAGTGAAGAAAGCTTATAGGAAGTTGAGGTAACAGGTAACTGTTCACTGAAGTATCTCAGTGTCTTAGAAGGGGCCCCGACTGAATGAGTAAGAAAATTAATTTAAAGTTCAAGGTATTAAATGTAAAATTCTAGAACTTTCCAATTTTGTTAAGGGAAAGCCCTGCTACTGATAATTCTTCTCATGCTCTATAACTGGAGCCACAAAACTTCCAAATAAATAGACTTCTTTTAAAAAAATCTAATTATCTGATTTACACAATCTACAGTGACACATACACACATACACATACATACCAGCATTAGACTGCCAGATAGCTAAGCAAATCTATGTATTCAACTAAGACACCAAATTGTGTCTTCAAAATAGTACAACACAAAACTTTATTAACACTAATAAAGGCAGGTATAAGAAATCAGAGTAATGTTTTGGTATAATAGTTCTGGTTTTAACTGAGTACAAAGTAAACCAAACTTCTTAGTTGCCATAAAAAAAAAGACAGACTGACCTGTTTTGACCCTTAAACATGATGCATGGTTCATGAATTCTTTGAAGTTCACCACCTGGCTGATGTTGCCAAAGATAATTTATATGAAACTCTCCAGGGATTAAGGTCTACTGACATAAGAAATTATAGGGATTTTCATTTCTTGGCTTCAATTGGAATGACAAAAAATTCTAGTGTGGATTAAAAGATAAAAAATGTGTATAATTATAATCATGATACTTGTCTTTGTAAATATCAAACCAGGATCCTTTTAAAGATGCTTTATATTTTTCTGACCTCTCACAAACATGTGGTCAGGTAAACACATGTGCACAGCAGGACAGGCATTTGCTAACGAGTAATTACAGAATTGCTACAGGGTTCAGAAAGGATCCATGATGAAGTCAGAAAGCTTAGTTTTTATATGAGAGGTCTAGTCCTCATTGAAAAAATGTTACTACAAGGACAATACAAAGAGTTGTGAAAGCCTGGAAATTGGAAACAAGACTTTTCATTAGAAACCTGGTTTGACTATGAGGCATCTTAAATAGTACTTTTTAATAATAGGGTTTTGTTCCTACAGCCTAATATATTCTTTGTTTACTTTTTCCAACAGCATTAAAGTATGTCTGTCTAAATGAATGTAGGGGCACAGAGGGCTTGTACACTACCCTTCCATGCAAGAGATCACTGCACTGCCATCATGGGGCCATGCTCTGATAGGCATCGACAGTCAGTCACATCTCAGCCAGTCTTGTCTGTAGCTTCCTCATGTCCAGCACCCTTAGCACAGTAGCCTGCGTGAGTTATCCTGGTGGCTACTCAGACCCTGGGGATTCTTCACTCCCTTACTACTGTTTAGCACATCTGCATTATAATGTGATAGGGAAAAGCATAGGAATAGAAAGGAAATATAATGGAAATGCCAAAAAAAATAGGTGTTAAGTCTACATAGAAATGCAGCTACCACCAAAACTTGTGTGATCTTGTCAAAACAGAAGGTGGACTTCAGGCACTTGCCAAAAGTGCTAGCTGGACATACACCACATCAGTCACATTTCAGTGGAGATGGGAAAGGAGAATTTGCAAGACCAACATCAATTCCTCAAAAGCACAATTCTGTAAAATCAGGATTATAAAAACAAGACATCCAGAGGCTACACAGATGCTCTTTGGTATCTCTTTCCATTTCTCCAGGAAGAACATGAGTTTTAGAAGAGCTTTGTAGAAACACGTAAAACTCTGGCACTCCCTTCCTTCTGTATGCATTGGCTGGAAGGCATCATAAAACCACATATACTGCCCACATACCTTGTTACCTGTCTGCTCTGTCTATCTATACTTAGCTAAATAGAAATTCATATCCATCCAGATGTAAAAATGCAACCAAGCTCCAGGAAAGCAATATTCAATGTCTGGGAAGCAGAGCCAGACTGCTTGGGTTTGAGTCCCAGCTCTATCACTTACTGGCCAAATAGCCTTGAATAAATTATTTAAACTTCAAGCTTCAGTTCCTGCATCTATGCAGCCTTCCTTATGGACTTTTGTGGAGAGTACTGAGAAAACAGTAGATTTCTAAATACTGCTGTCATTAAGTAAAGGGTCTCACTGTATAGAGACATTATTTTACAAAGACTTTTAAAGTAATTACATCAAAGCTGAGAAGGGTTCAGATATAACCTGCTTCATTCACATTGTAAAAGTGAGACTAAATGTAATCTAGTATTTTTTAAATTGTAGCTTTTAAGAGCTAGGATTAAAAAAAAGAAAATAAGAAGATGTTAGAGGTAGGTAAAAAATGATTTCTTCCTACACTAAGGTAAAAGACTGGGAAGTCAGAGGCTGGGTTCATGTCACCCAGCAGTAACATCACTTTCAAACTGTCTTAGTAAAATCATTTTTATTATCTAAAACACTGAAGCCATTTGAAAGCAAAAAGTATCTTCATAATTCATCTTGAGATGTTATGAGGACAAAATGTATATGACATTTATCAGAATAAACAATGCTTTAAAAACTCATAACAGAAATATGAAAACCATTCAGTGATGATTAGACAAATAAAAGAAAAAACTCAGCAAGTGATTTCACAAGGGAAGATACTTAAATTTGCCAGGTGACTGAAAAGACCTTGCTGGCTTTCTGTCACTTATCATTTGCAAGTCATTTCGAATCACAAAACCTTCTATTCTTTTGATCCACATGGAAGCATCACTTTGGCATTAACACTATGCAAATTTGAACTTAGCTAGGTGTGCCACACTAATTACCACAGGGGTAGGCTCTTGGTGTTTTGTACAAAATAATTATTGCTCTGCTTGCTTCATAATCACACATTTTCCATATTGTAATTTCAGTTTATTGAGTAAAATTGTACATAAAACAAACCTAGTGCATTCCTCCTTCAAGAAAAACAGAACAAATGAGAACAACAGAGGACTCAAAGGATTTCTTCAGCCCCCTGAGGTGATAACAAGAGAATTTAAAGCAAAAAGCTTTTGCCTTTCAGTAAATGAATAACCTGGTACAGTGATTCTTATTCTGGTGTCCTGGAAATTTAATGAAACTTTTCAGGTTCCTCATCTACTATCAATGCTTACTCATGACATAACACCGGCCACAGTGCTCTCTGGTTGGAGGAATAGTGAAAATGAGAAATGAAAAATAATAGCAGGAAATAAACAGGGAGGAATCAATAAACAATCTGGGGCTAGCTTTAGGTTATTCGAGACTATCAGATCATTTGACTATAATCCTGCCAACTCCTGGTTGAGACTCATAATATAAGAACTCTGGTTCATCTTCAAAAAAATTTTTTTAATGTTATAATTGAAAATGCAATTCTATGCTGAGTCAAATCAATGAGCCATCTTGATGTATATATGCTAATATATATGTTTAGCTACATAAATAAAAGTACTTTGTTAAGGAGCTGAGTATTTGCCAGGCAGTAAACTTGAGTCTGTTTTCATTTCATAAATATATCCTGAGCACACTATTCTCATTTAATAACTGATAATCATATTGAAATATTTCTAGGATTTCTGTCAATTATTATTCTTTAACAAATCTTTGGAGGCTAATACCATCAGTAAATTCTTTGTATTTATTACTCGCTATGTGAAAAAGCTATTGTTATTGCAACTGGAGGCAGGCAGTGCTCGCAGGTCATGTACCACCTGTTGAGGTTTCCTCTTGCTGGCTCTGACAGATATCCAGGCTTCCCTGGTGCAGTTAATGGCATCCAAATCCAAATCTTCACTGCCTTGGTGTGATTCCTAAGAGAGAGGACACAGGATCCGAAACAGCTAAATGTGCTGTTGTTACAATGCTAGGGCTTCTGTTCTAAACACTCACCTGCTCACTACCCATCTACAATGAACAGCAGAGAATTCAAACAGCCTTGAGACTTCACACAGAGACAGTCAAGCGACCCTTTTTGCTTCCTTCCCCCTGAGGCCTCACCTTGGCCCAAGTAATTCCTCCATTAAGCCCTGCCCAGCAAAAGACACACTCAGAACTTTACTTACCACTGCCTCAGAAAGAAAGGGTCAAAAACACAGGAGAAAGTATCTTCTCTCTTCACAAATGCTCAGCCCTCTAGAATGGTGTTCCCTAGCATATGTTCTTCCTGGAATCCATTCTGCTGATGTAGCCTATAGGTGACTCAGGCCCGCTGCTCTGTTATCCTGCCCTTTCTTCAATTACTTATATAGTATAGGCATTATGGTATGAATCCCATGAATACTGGCCCCACCACATACCAGCTGTGTGACTTTTTGAAAATCATTATGCTACTTTCTGCTCTAATTCCATCTGCAAAATGGAGATAATAATAGCATACCCACCTCATAAGGTTATTGTGAAGAATAAATAAGGTAATGCAGCTAAAAGCACTTAACACATACTGCCTGGGAGTCAGTAAGCACTTGACAAACATTGATGCTGTTGCTTCTTAATAACAACACTGGGTGCCAGCAACAACATTCCTGGTACTGAGGTGGGCATTTGGGATTCACAGACTATAAGAGAGTCCCAGCCTCTCAAGAACTCACAGTCTACAACAGGGCTTAGGCAATATTTTCTGTTAAAGACCAGATAGTATATTCTTGAGCTTGGCCAGCCAGTCTCTCTTGCAACTACTCAACTCGGGCAAAGTAGCACAAAAGTAACCCTAAACAATATATAAGCAGATGCATGGAACTTTGTTTCAATAAAAGTTTATCTAGAAAAACAGACAGTGGGCAGGATTTGGCCTATAGGCTGCAGTGTATCAACCCCTGTCTAGAGAGAAGAAGCACACAATTACAAGATAACCAACTTAGACTACAATGCAGGTATGCAGAGTCTCAGTGAGCACAGAAGGGAGAGTATATCGCATTTAGCTTCTGCTGTTAGTTATTCATGCCATTGGTTAGCAATTCCTACAAAGTGGCAGAAAGAACAAGAAATTTAATGGAGCAAAAAAATCTAAAATTAATGGACAAATGGATTTGATTAGAGTTTCAATTTTGCTGAGCCTATTCTGCCTTACAGCATCCTTGGTTTCAGAAAGTTAAGCTGAAAAAAAATCTACTTTATTGTCATGTCATTTCATTCATCTGGCAACCTATACTCTTCAGAGAAACTGAAGACAAATATCATAAAAATTCTATTTATCTGCCACAATTCCAGAAATTCAGACTATTTCTGGTGGATCAAGACATGAAGTTCTCAAGAACTAACTATAATAGAGTATTTTGACATATTGCAAACCTCAGTTTTGGCTATAGTAGGATCTAACTTAGGAATCAAAATATGTTCAAGAAGAAATATGATAATGCTACCAGACAGTATAAAAACATGTTTGAAGATGCTTACATGCAAAACCTTTTATTTTTCTAAGTGAGCATCTTTGGCTCATTAAAATGACTAACTCAGAGAGAATAAGATTTGGAACACAATCCACAATGGTAAATACAATTGCTGACTGTTTTTGGCTTTGTGTTATCATAGTGGAAAAGTAGTTTGTCCCAGCAGCTGTAGGACTGTCTCAAGTGTGGGCATATGAGCCTTTTGCATAATGCTGTGTTTATACAACCCAGATGGTCCATCCTACTCTCAAGCTGCATGCACCCCCAACCCTCCAGCCCCGCCTGAGCTTAAAGAGTGAAGGAAGAACAATCAAAATGCAACTGCAATGAAGACAATATATGGTAATTATTCCTTATCAGGTATTTTCCTCTGTTCTCCAGATAAAACTGCAGCTTCTCCTAGAAAGACTGAGCCAATGTCTATCACCAGGCGGTTTGTCCAAGCTCAGGGCAAAACAAGCCTTTCTCGGAGGCATGATCAATTCACTGCTGGTTAATGCCCTTCATTTAAGTTAAGATAAAGAAAATGAAATAAAGATAAGCCACAATCAGTCTCATTTTAGTCACTTGCTAACTACTCTAATAAAGGTTGCTATTAGATAAGATAGAAATTACTGCCTAAATGAGCATACTTAATGCCACTGGGCTTCACTGCCCAGGTTAGCTCGGTTACTCTAAGAAATATAACCATAAACTGGATATAAAACTTCACCTCTACAGAATTGTCAGGAGTGGATGGGAGCTTCATGGTAGACTTGAATATTCTTGATAAATGGACACCCTAAGGTTCTATAGTTCATGACAATAATCCCATGCTACCTAACGGGCTCAACAATAGCCACTGCTTGGTATGGGGGATCCTTACAGCCTTCTGAAATGATGGCTAAGGAAAAATAAAATATAAACCCTCTTCGTATTTCTTCATGCTTGAATATCTCCTAAGAAAGAGGTTAGCATGGTTTTTTAAAAAAAGTAAGGATTTAGGGGTGGATTCAAGATGGTGGTATGAGAGGTGAAACAGAGAACTCATCCCCAAACCACATATAGTCTGAAAATATAGTTAATACAACTAATCCTAAAATAGTAACAGGAAAGAAGGCTGCACCAGACTACATACAGACCTCACGAACAGAGCAGACTTCACAAAACAGGGTAATGAACCTTGATCCGACAGGACCCAAGCCCATCCCCCACCCCAGCTCACCGGTTGGAGGAAGAGAAATGGAGCAGGGAGGGGGTGGAAACCTAGAACTGCTAAACACTCAGCCCTGGAGGTCTGCTTTGGAACACAAACCTGCATTGTGTGGTGCTCTGCAGGTTGGTGGGGTTGGGGAGCTGGGACAGGCAGAGTGCTTCAGAGACTGAGATTCCAGCCATTTGTGGAGGACGGGGATCCACATCCGGCTGCTTGGGACAAAGGAAAGGCAGGCTGTCTGAGAGGCTTCCTAACAGTTAGAGGGCTGCTGATGGGGCAGGGTTTGTACGGAGCTTGCTGCACGGGAGAAGGAAATGGTGGACAAGGTTATCTGGATGTGCTCTACTCAGCAGGTTGGGAACTTGGAGGAGCTTAAGGTACTCCATCCCCCTGGCTGGCTACTCAGTGCTGAGAGCCCCCACTGTGACACAAAGCTGGCTGTGCCTTCCTCCTGGCCTGCTGGCACTGGCTTGAAAACAGGCAGTCACTGCACTGGCATCAGGCCAGCCAGAGGGAGACCCTGCCTACAACAGCTAGAGATGCAAAGCACAGAGGCTTACACCAGTGTGCTAAGCCCAATGATTCTCACAATGGAAACAGGCACTGCAGCCAGGAATCAGGAAACAGCTCTATCCTCCCCCCAGGCACCAGCATCTTTTCCTACAACCCTGAAACTCACTCTAGGGGCTGAGGAGCTCAAGAGACTAGAGATTCTGAGCACTAGAGGGTGCCATATAGAAACATGAAACGTCAAAGGAGCCTGGTTCAGACTAAAATCTTCAAAACCCCAGAAAAAGGGCCAAATGAAACTGAACTCACCAATCTTTCTGAAAGAGAGTTCAAAATAAAAACCATAAATGGGCTCATGGAGGTAAAGAAAAATATTCAAGAATTCAGGGACAAATTTAAGATGGAGATTGAATCATTAAGAAATTCCATATCTGAAATGAAACATACAGTGGAGGGATTTAAAAGCAGATTAGATGTAGTAGAAGAGGCAATAAATGGGATAGAAATTAAAGAAGAGGAATACAAAGAAACTGAGGCACAGAGAGAATAAAGGATTTCTAAGAATGAAAGAATATCAAGAAAACTGTGTGACCAATCCAAATGGAACAATATTTGCATTATAGGGGTATCAAAAGAAGAGGAGAAAAGGGATAGAAAGTGTCATTGAGGAGGTAATTGCTGAAAACTTCCCCAATCTGGGGAAGGAGATAGTCTCTCAGGCCATGGAGGTGCACAGATCTCACAACACAAGGGACCCAAGGAAGACAACATCAAGACATATAATAATTAAAATGGCAAAGATCAAGGATAAACACAGACTTTTAAAAGCAGCTAGGGAAATAAAATAGATCATATACAAAGAAAATCCATAGGCTATCATCAGATTTCTCAACAGAAACCTTACAGGCCAGAAGGGAGTGCCATGATATATTTAATGTAATGAAGCAGAAGGGCCTTGAACCAATAATACTCGACCTAGCAAGGTTATCATTTAATTTTGAAGGAGGGATTAAACAATTTTTAGATAAGCAAAAGCTGAGAGAATTTACCTCCCACAAATCACCTCTACAGTGAATTTTTGAGGGAATGATATAGATAGAAGTGTTTCTAAGGCTAAATAGATGTCACTGGGGAAATAAAACAACAGCAAAGTAGAACAATTCATTACTAAGCAGATACAAAACCAAACCAACTACCCACAAAGTCATTCAAGGGATAGATGAAGAGTACATAATGTGATACCTAACATATCAAGAATGGAGGAGGAAGAAAAAGGAGGAAACAAAAAAAAAAGAACCTTTGGTTGTGTTTGTACTAGCATAGGAAGTGAGATAAATTAAACTGTTAGATAGTAAGGGAATTACCCTTGAAACTTTGATAACCATGAATATAAAGCCTGCAATGTCAATAAGTACAAACCTATTGATAATCACCCTAACTGTAAATGGTCTGAATGCACCAATCAAAAGACATAGAGTCACTGAATGGATAAAAAAACATAAAAAAACAAGACCCATCTATATGCAGCCTACAAGAGAATCACTTCAAACTCAAAGACATACACAGACTAAAAGTAAAGGGATAGAAAAAGATATTTCATGCAACTAATAGAGAGAAAAAAGTGGGAGTTGCAGTACTTGTATCAGACAAAATAGACTTCAAAACAAACAAAGTAACGAGAGACAAAGAAGGACATTACATAATGATAAAGGGGTTAGTC